ATATATATATATATATACGGAGTGAATTGCAAAATCAGTCCTTTATGACTAGTTTCTAATTTGGAAACCAATAAGCAGTTCATTTTGAAATAGCTGTTTTTTTCTCTTTTAAATATTTATTTTATGTTCATTAATAAAACAAAAACATTTCTTATCCAATTACTCGATTAACCAATGAAATAACCGACAGGAAGCTTCAAAGATTTGCTTTGTCTGGTAGACACCTGCACTTTTTGTTCACACAGTTATTATGCTGGTCTAGTTATTTTTATGTATCTTTAGGTTAACATTTTTTGATTATTATAATTGATAATATATATAAAAATATTCTCTAAACATGCTGAACTTGAATATGAAATGTTTATGTAGCTTTGACAAACTAGATTAACCTAAATCATGGAGACACTAAGAATACCTGTGCTGCAATCACTGCTGTAAACAGCAGGATGCAGTACGAGTGCTGAAATGTTGTTGATTCTGAGGATAGATACAGTAGACGTTTAATCCTGGGTATTAGCAACTTCAGTCAAATGTATTGCTTCCACCCCCCATGTCTACTGGTAATACAATTTTCCCACTGCTGTCTTTAGGTTCTCAAACACTCTGCTTACCTTCCTTGACAGGAATTGCTGGCTTCTTCTGCCTCAGACCCAGGAGGATGAAGAAAAGGACGAGCGGGATGAAAATCTCAAAAGCCAGCACCCACTGAATCGGAACAAGAAAGATAATTTACAGGATTATTTTTTCACTCCATTTCAATGAAATCTGGGCTAAACCTAGTCCAGTTTCAGGTCAGTGATCTTGAGTCATGGGTCTTTACCATTACACTCTCCTTGTCAGTTCCCATCACACAGTTCATAGATCATGTTTCACAATAGACTTTACAGAGTTTGCTTACTTTAAGATATCAATCTTTTACATCGGTGAGGGAGTGAGAAAGATGTCCAGCCTGCACAGCTCCTCTTCATTGCAATGCCAAACCCTTTTTATGTGGCCGTTACTCTAAAGCAGGCTGTGCAGTTTAGTTTGCTCTGTGGGCACGTTACAGATTAAAGACACCATCAGAGACAGGCTGATAGGCCACGTCTGCTGTACAGTCCATTGCAAGATATGTGCCTCACAATCAGAGGAGGAGATGAGATGAAAAGATGCTGACAAAAGTACCATAGTTTAAAACAAAGGTTCACAGTAGATTGCGTGCTTATCACCTCACATTTCTTTACAAATGTGAGATGATCAGGGTGCATTCTGACCACCAGAATGATTCTCAGAAATTACTCCAGAAATTTTCAAGGCAATTTCATCAAGCTCTTTGGCATCTAGGGCAACTTCTTGTCATCTTCTCTTTCAACACTCCTGAATTTAACCTGGACATGGACCCCTTGCAGCTGCAGTGCATTTCATTTAATGAAATCTAAAACAAAGGTGTGTGCTAACAAAGCCAAATGAAGGCCTCGATTCTTTCCAGGAATCATGAATCATCTTGAATCTGACAGCCTCCTCTTTCGTAACACTGTCCACACAGAACTACTGGAACCATGATGTCTTTGTGCTTCTGTCTTGGATGCCCACAGATACACACCCAGCTGCTGCGTGTGCGTTCAGTTTGTGAAGGTTAGTGCAGACAAAGAGGCTCTTTAGACAGAGACAAGAGTCCACTGACACAGGTTACAATAAACAAAAATGTCTCTTCTCACATATCAAGTTCTGTTATAGATGATCCATTTAATCTGGCAGCACTCTCATACATCTCAACTTTGGTACAAATGCTAGAAATAAGGAGATTTTAATGTGATTTTAAAACTGTATTACTTTTCATTTCTTGGGGAACAAAACAACAGGTTTTTTTCTCAGAGTGTCTGAGTCTACACACACACACAAACACAGGAAACCCCGTTCAGCTATCTTAGTGAGGACCTTCATTGATGTGATGCTTTCCCTTGCCCCTTAACCCAACCTTAACCATTAAATATGAATGGCTACCCCTTACCCTAAACCTAACCATAACCTAATTGTAACCCTGACACTGAAACCACATTTTGAGCTTTAAAAATGCCTTCAAATCTTATTTGTGAGGACCAGGTTGTGTGTCCTCACAAGTGACTGTTGGTTCTAACAAGTATAGTACAGTGTGGGCCATTTATATGGATACACCGTAATAACATGGGAATGGTTGGTGATATTAAAGTCCTGTTTGTGGCACATTAGTATATGTGAGGGGGCAAACTCCTCAAGATGGGCGGTGTCCATGGTGGCCATTTAGAAGTCGGCCATCTTGGATACAACTTTTGTTTTTTCAATAGGAAGAGGGCCATGTGACACATCAAACATATTGGTAATGTCACAAGAAAAACAACGGTGTGCTTGGTTTCAACATACCTTTATTCTTTCATGAGTTATTTACAAGTTTCTGACCACTTATAAAATGTGTTCGGTGTGCTGCCCATTGTGTTGGATTGTCAATGCAACCCTCTTCTCCCACTCTTCACACACCGATA